CCGTCCACGGTCTTCTTCTTGAAGAGAGACGCCATGGTCAGCGGCCGCGCCCGGCGCCCGGCTCGGCCCGGTCCGGCCCGAAACTGGGCAGGCAGAGAGGGACAGGACAGGCCTCTGGGGGGCTCGAGGGGGCGGGGAGGACGGGCAGGAGGCAGAGGGCAGGGGCTGCAGGCAGGACCCACGGAGGGCGCGTGTCCGCGAGGCCACCGAGGCGGCCGCCGGGTGCTCAGGTGACCGGGAACTAAGACACTTTTTGGAGAAGTCACTTCTGGGCGGCGCCTGCGCACTCCGCGCGCGCGTGCGCACTGCGCTGTGAAGCCGCCGCTGCCCTCACTTCGCCGGCGGCCGCTGCCCCTCCTGCTCGCGCCGGGAGAGACCCCGGCTTTCCGCGTTCGGGCAGGGGCCGAGACTTCGGTGCCACGGTTCCGTGCGGACTGCAGACACACTTAAGCTTTGCTTAGCTCTTTCCTCTTTGCCCTTGGGGCGGCTGGAATTAGGGGCCGAGAGGGTCCTCGGAAAAGTGCGAGTCGTCGCGCAGCCGCCGGGACCCTCTCTGAGTTGATCTGTGAGCGTCCCTTGGCATAAGTACGCATTCTGTCCTAGACGGGGGCAGGCACGGCCGGGGCACCGCGGGGTCCCTGAAGTTCACACCCTGGATCGCCCGCGCCCTCTGCGCAGCCGGGTCCCGGCCGGGGATCTGCACCCGCCCTGGTCCGCGCCGCGTCCACCTGCTGTGGGGCTGGGGCCGGCGCCGGGCTGGGGGAAAGCGGGGTGCTAATGCGCTACTTCTCTGGGCTGGACACGGAAGTAAAATTCGTACATAATTTGTAGGCATGCCTAAATGTCTCCAATGCGATCCTCGATTTCGTGTAACTGCTCAGGAAAAATTCATGGCCATACAGTGGACCTATTAGAATGGGACATAGTTGTATATTGCTATGTGATAGGGAAAAAATCGTGTTAAAGGAAAAGCATACTGAATTTTTGAAAGAATCTTTTGTGTACCTAAATATAAATACGGATTACTCAATCGTGTATATGTTTGTACATACATATCTCTTTTTCAGTGTGTTATTGAACTGTTAGAAGCTTAATTTTTCTCAACTTATTTTCCTCCCAGTGTACTGCTTAGCAACACTGCCTTCCACAGGATAAAAATAATAGCTGTGCCTGGGGATGTAGCTTAGGGGTTAGTGAGTGCTTGACATGCACAAGCCCTAGGTTTAATTGTAATGATAACAGTAATAGCATTTTGGGATTTTTGATATGGAAGACCTGCCAATACTAATGTTAGTATTATTTATGCCTGTATTTATGAATCATGTCTCAAGAATTTTTGAGTATTTGAGATCATGAGATTTGACTTCCCTTTCTTTTTCTTGCTAAAATACCAAGTAGCCACAGACAAAACCCTGCTGCTGCTGTTAGTAAAATTTAAATAAGAGCCTGTTCAGGAAAACTTTCTCAGAATAGCAGTCATGTACAAGGTATAACTGTCTTCTCCTCAAGTTATTCAAGCATTGTGGGAAAGTAGAGTAGGGAAACGTTGTGGGAAAGTAGAGCAGGGAAACAGAGGAAAATGCAACCAAGGAAACGGTTAAAACAGTATATCCAAGGCCTGGCCTTTCCTGGAATACACATTAAGGCAGAAAGGGAGGGTGGCCCTGCTGCCTTGTAATGAATGGCTCAGAGCTGTGCTTGAATGCATGAGAGGCAATAAGCTGCTATGTGTATGTGTAGGAATCTTTCTTCCTGCTGCAGTCACCCTTGTTTTATTATTCCTACATGATCCCCCCTACTGACCCAATTGTAACAGTTGGGAAAATGCCAAAATACTTAGCAGCAACCATATGGAAGACCCTCCAAAAGTGCACAGCAGGAGCTAAAGACAGGGCTTGTTCATTACCATAAAGATAAAATAGAAATATATAGTACTTAAACTCAGCACTCAAATAGCTTGATTCTCCCATATTATGAAGCTAGCTGATTGCCAGCTGATATGCAGCAGTCTGGTTGGTTTCCTTTCAGATTAATTAATGGCCAAACCCTACCAGTACATATTTTGTATATCACCTCTCATGTAAAGGGCATGCTACATATAAATATAGCTGAGATTCTGAGCCACCAAGAAGCTGTAAACTAGCATGCAGTGCTGTATTTATTCAAAACCGACCAGTGTCACATCAAAATTCAGTGAACCAACAAAATATATATAAGCATAGATAGAAAAAAATTTAATTGTGTTCTTTTTAAATCTCCTTAAGAAATAACAAACCAATATCCCATGTGACCCAACAGTCTTCCTCCATATTGCAAAGTGAAGAATATTTATTGCATAGCTGAGGGCACAGATCATGCTCTATGTTGGGGAGAGACTAGTGAAGAGACAAATGCAGTCCTTTTCCCCTTTTACTTCCCTTCCTACCAGTTTTTCTCTTTTCTCACTTAAATGTCCATCATACAAAGACAGGCTTTGCTCAGTAGAAGGAAGTAGTTCTTTAGACCAGAGCTATTCTGACATGGGATGTGAGCTGTGTGAAGCAATGAATTCAAATCTCAAGTGTTCCAAGGGTAAGTTTTGTAAACAGAATTCCCTTAAAGAATCATAACCTCAGTTAAAATACCTAATGTTCCTTTAAAATCTGAAATTGTGTTGTGAATAAAAGAGCTTAAGCCAAATAACTTGATATGTGATGCTTCATATCCTACAGATAATACTACCAAATCTTGTTGGCTTTACTTCTTAAAATATGGTGAAAAATCACATAGCATTTCACTGCCTTGGATCATCGCAGTTCAGGTAGCTTTCATCTCTCTCCCATGTATTTATTACCTCTTGTTTTCCTGCTTTTGTTCTTGCCTACCATATTACTTCAGTATAGCAGACAGATCCTCTTAAATTGAGAATCAGACCATGTTATTCTGTTTCTCAAAAAGAGAACAATATGTTCTCAATTCCTATGTCTGAAACCACACACATACACATCCTTGTCCTAATGATTAAATTTCAGTTATGCATTGATTAAATGTCCATATTTTCAGCATTAGGTTACCATTTCATTTTTCCTTTCATTATTTCTATGCAGATTGATGGTATTCTGCAATGTGTTACCACTTTTGTTCTGTACACTATTCCTGATAACACACTGTGTGATTACTTTAGCAGTTTTGAAAATGATGTTCTCTAGAACAATTTGTGCTTATATTTGATTAATTTTTCATACCTATTATCTTGTAATCTGAGAAACTGCTCTGAAGATAAGAATAAGCAATATATTAACCATGGTTAATCTCCTACTATCGTGTTTTGAAATTCTATATCTTTATTTTTATTGCTTTTTTCTCTTTGAAATAAAATTTTTAAAAAATTGTGTTCTTTGAATAACATCAAAGATTCAGTTATGTAAAACTTTTAGCATGTTAGTAAACACAAATTCATACTCAATCTTTCCCAATTTTATTCTTCATTAGTGGATAATTTTAATCCTAATACAGAACTTTTTGTACATCATGTAGAGACATTCCTCTTTATTTTGATTCACTTATAAACACTTTGAGCATCCTAGCTATCTACGAATTTTTAAAAACAAGATTTTTAAAAACCTTTATAAGTCCATTGTGAGGATTTTTGTAATCTTTAGTGAGACAATTGATGAATGCTACAATATGCCTACATTATATTCTATCAGTTATAGTAACTAGACAAAATTTGAGTTGACTTTGGCACAATTCATTCTTGGGGACATAAGATTCATTCTAAATTTTCAACATTTTCTTTGCAAATATTAATATATTTTATTCCTCTAATATTGCTTTCTGGAGTGTTTTATTACATAGTTTCCTCCTCTTAGAAAACTGGAATATTTCCCACTTTGCAGTCTCTTGTTATCTTTCCATGCAATTTGAACAGATTCTGTTTTCTGTTCTTGAAGTCAGGCTACATCAAGGTGAGGAGTGCTGATTCTGGACAGCGACTGTTGTGTCTATGTCAGATTCAGCAGTTATGTAGCTATTAGACCCAGAGTGAGTCACTGAAACTCATGCTGTTTGTTTCATCATGTCTGAGACAGATTAGTACTGACTTCATACAGCTATTGTAAGGATTACATGAGCTAATATAGGTAAGAAACTCCAAGTAGCATCTATGTTATGTTTTATCCATTTGTGCTACTGAAAAAAATACCATAGACTAGGTAACTTATACAGAGCACAAATTTATGTCTCAGTTTTTATAGAGGCTGGGAAGTCACACCTTAAGGCACTGGCATGCTATGGCTTGTATCTAGATATGCCCCAAACCACACATGGTCATAGGTAAAGCAGTTTGGCTGTGTGACTGTGGATTAAGAGTGTGACACTGGGACTAAGGGTGTGTGATAACTAAGTAGGTTTAACATAGTTCAGGGTATGGATAACGGAAGCCCCGTCCTGGGTGTGGGTGGCAGCAGTCAGTGAGACTTTAGGCTGGATGAAATAGGAAATGAGAAAGGGAAGGTAGGCTCACTGCTACTTCTTGCCACTTTCTCCTTGCTACGCCATGAACTTTCTCGTCTGCGATGCCTTTCTGCCATGCGACCCTGCCTTGGAACCAGCTCACTGTAGACTGAAACCTCTATAAACTGTGAGCCAAATAAACCTTTCTTCCTTTAACTTGTGGGTGTTGGGTATTTGGTCTCAGCGGTGAGAAAAGGCATATTGGCTGTCGTGTGAGGACTGCTCCCTGTTTGCAAAATGGCCCCTGTTGCCGTATCATTCAGAAGGGAATAATGCTGTGTTTTCCTGTGACAGGAAGGGCAGAAGGCAAAATTGGAAGGCAGCTCCCTGCAACCTTTCTTACAAAGACACTAATCTTATTCATGTACTCTGTCTTCATGGCTTAATCACCTCCTAAAACCCTCACTTCTTAATATTACATGTGTAATCAGGTTTCAATATGTGAATTTCAGTTTAGTCCATAGCACATACTAAGCACCAAGCAGATCTATATTATTGTTCTCAGCTCTTGGCTCGTATATTTTCTCAAGAGTTGTCCCTTTACACCGAAATTCACTCTTCTGTAATAGAGAAAACATAAATTGAAGATTTTCTGGTTTTTTGTCCTTTTCACCTGAGCTATATCAGCTACACCTCCCCAAAGCAGCTCATTTCTTTCTCCTTAATTAAAAAAATCTGTTTTTAATTGATCTTCTTCTCTCACGAGCTGATCTGTGCGGTGAGTAGGGTTCTCTAGAGAAGCAGAATTGGCAAGAACATGTACAGTGGCGCCTCAGTTCACAAACTCTTTTGTTTGCGAACTATTTGGTTTGTTAACAGTAGCTGTTTGGCAAAATTTATTTTTGCTTGCAAACTTTGCATCAGATGACAAACACAGCCACATCCATCTTCTTCAATAGTTTAGTGATAGACCGATGTACTTCAATACACTTATATTGGTTTAATA